GTATTGGAGTAGCGGTTTAACTAAACCAGATGTAAATTAATTAGTTGGTTATGATAAACCACTTCTCTCACTTACATAAAGATAAGATTAATGTAACAGAACATTCAATGAAGCAATAACAAGATTTTTTCATTTCCTCTCTTGCGTTGCTTCTACTAACACGGCAAAAGAAGTGTTTGAATTTGGAGGTTTTTATTAAAAAATTTATGGGTTTACGTGGTTGCCAATAAATATCGTACGTCCAACAGTCCAACCAAAAAAGATGAGAAGTGCATTCTCCGATACGTTAACGTTTCAACGATCCTCATGATATTGGAACTATATATAGTCTCTAACAACTTTTTAATAATTTAGGCGAAATTTTAGAAGTATGGTTGACTTGATTACAAATCAAATAATGTTTCAACTAATGCACATTCAGTGGCTCTCCAGTGTTTTCAATCACGATTTATGGTCAATACACATTGATTGCAATCGCTATAGACCATCCTTTTTGGGGGGGCAAATTCGACGTTGTACTAATACGTTGGCTTTGATTTTCTTTTAAATTAAATCGTTATAAACTTACAAGAGTCTTTTCAAATTTTGGACAAATTAAAGTTTTACACTTTCGATATTTTACAAATTTTTAGAAGGTCCTCATCACAACAACTTTTTTCTTGATCAACCGATTACAACACAAGAACATCCATAACAACTTTTTAACAAAAAAAAGAAAAAAAAATTTAATAAGTATTCTAACGATTTTTCTAATAAGCCCATGGTAATGGTATATATGCAAGTCCCTTTCATAAAAGTCAACCACGATTATTACACTTTTACGATTTTCCTATAACTTTTTTACAACTAATCGGGCTATTGTGCGACTTATTCCATGGTGAACAAACCGATCAAAACAAATTGTCCATTTCATTTTCAGTTGAGCCTTTAACCTAATTCATGGGTAGCTTAGAAACAGCATATCGAAAATTTCAAGTAAAACTAGAATTCAGAATTTGAAAAACAGTGTTTAAAGTCACTAGTTCAACTCCACTTGGAATGAGTGATTTACGCCTTAAACGTGATATTATCAACGGTTGGTCTCGGACACCAAAGAGATTATAGATCAAAGATCCGGAATTCCAAAGATTTTTTTTTTTAAACACTGATGCGAATTTACATTTTGTCCCTCGACTCTCCACAATCAATTCCACCACTGGATTAAGCTTTACATTGAAAACTGTCTATTGAGTCTCAGATTTTTATCAGTAAATTTTTTTCGCTAAAACTATATGTATATATATTATTTTTTTTCTTTTCTTATCGCTAAAAATTGTTGGAAAAAAATAAAATAAATTGTGAGAGTTCTTCGTGTAATGTTTTAAGGAAACTCAACCATCCATTAAGTACCGTACGGTCGGAGGAAAGGGCAATTAGGTGAAAATAAATGAAAGCGCATGCGGTATGCTAAAAGTTTACGTTAAATCTGAGCCGTCAAAAAACTTTAAATGTGAACCATTCTCAAATAGAATATATAGGCAGGATCATAACTCCATGAAAATATTAATGTAGGGTTTCGACTTTTATTTTATTTTATCAATTTCACAAAGTGTGGATGTCCCACTTGCATGTGCTATCTCTCAGACATTGATATGACATCAAAATCCCAATTTTATTTTGGTTTGGTCGTCCTATAAACCGGTCGTTTATAATAGTTTTCTAAAAATTTAGTATTTTATACAGTTAATTATTATAGTTTTTTTCCCTGAAGATATTAACAAATGATGTCAGGTATTTTATACAGTATAGAGCTTGTGAAGATTCTGAAATGAACATTTATTTATTAGTTCAACAGTTTTTGACGGCTAAAAAACTGCCGATTCCGAAAAGAAAGCATCTTGGGATTACTTTCTTGGACGAGGTCGCACAGTAACGTTCTAACTAATGTAAAACAATTTGTGTGACGAACGAAATTGATATCATATAAATATGTGGTTATAAATCTGTTTTAAAAAAACCTTCCTTCTTTCACACTATCACCATGAGGAGAACAATTATCAGAT